CACAAATGACTGATGAGATAACAGAACTTGGAAAAAAAAAATTGAAAGCTTCTGATATGTAAGTAGGCCTCCAAAGTAATAAATAGAATATTAGCAAGACCCGTGAGGGAGGACATTTTATGCAGAGAACATGGAATATATAAAAAGCACAAAAGCACAAACGTGCCTGGCATATTTGGATACAAGTTGGCTGGGAATGACCCCTGGGTTGGGAAGACCCCTGAAGAAGGGCATGGCAACCCACTCCAGTAGTCTTACCTGGAGAATCCCCAGGGACAGAGGAGCCTGGGGGCGGGGGGGGCGTGCGTGGAGGCTGCAGCCCATGGGGTCACAAAGAGTCAGACATGACTAGGCGACTCAGCACAGCACGGCTGTGAATGACTAAATTATAACTGACACGTATGAACTAAAGTCTCCACAGTTAACTATATTAATATCTGGCAAAAGCTTAGAAGCAGAATACTTTCATAAAATAACTCACATTGCAGAAATTGTTTAAAAAAAAAAAAAATGAACTCTAACTAATGAATTTGCTAATCCCTCTTAGGGCTTCCCAGGTGGCGCTAGTAGTAAAGAACCCACCTGCCAATGCAGGAGACATAAGAGACGCAAGTTCAATCTCTGGGTCAGGAAGATCCCCTGGAGGGGGGCATGGCAACCCCCTCCAGTATTCTTGCCTGGAGAATCCCATGGACAGAGGAGCCTGGGGGGCTACAGTCCACGGGGTCGCAAAGAGTTGGACACGACTGAAGCAAACTGGCACACACTCAATCCCTCTTAACAGATAATACAGGTTCAATTTTAGCTATAACATATACATGAAAAACTTAGCTATAATACACATATGAAATATTACTCTACAATTGTATCTTAACTATCTTCCAATAAGGATAAAAAGTCAACACAAAATCTACTATATAATTTATAAATAAGGCACAACATTCCTTCTTTATATTTTAGAAAGTGTTTACTTTGCTAAAGCGTGCAGACAGACTAGAGGAAGAAAAGTCTAGAAGCGGAAAGAACAGTTAGGAAGCTGTTGTAAGACTTCAGGTAAGAAACGTATGTGATAGTGGTTTGAACTATAGTAGTAGCAAGAGAAGAAGTAGGCTGATTTAGGAGATACTGAGAAGTATGGCCCCTTAAGACCTGATTGAGGAAGAGGAAGAAAGAGAGAAGGACTCCCAGAGCTTGGTTTGAGCAACCAGGAGAATAAGAAGGCAACTCCTTGAAAGAAAAAACACATGAGAAGCAGATTTGGTGGAAAATAATGAATTCAAGTATAGACAAGGTGAATATGAGGTGACTATTAATTCATCTAAGCATCGATTTTCAGCAGGCAGCTACATAGACAGACCTGTAGCTCAAAAGAATAATCCGGCTAGTGAAATCATATCTGTAAATCATTAGCATATAACAGAATCTGAAGCTATGAAAGTGAATAAAATCTCCCAAGGAAATTGTTAAAGGAAAAAGGAAAAGTGAGAATAATGACCCCTAATCAAAATGGCTCTTCTCTTTGAACTGGCAAGCCTCCAAGGAAAAGAAGTTCAAAACAAAAGGACTAGCAATCTCTTCTAATCAGATTTTAGTAACACAACTTAAAGTTTCATCGTATTTGTCAAAAGTGATTTTAATCAAACTAGAATTGAGTTGCTTGAAAAACAAAGGTAATGTATAAATATGAAATATTATCAAGGAAGGTCCTTAAGACATTAAAATCTCATGTGAAAAATAAAAAATAACCAGCTGTGGAGCAGTAGTTTAATTTTAAACATATGGAAAATTTGGATATTTTAAAATGACTACAAATGAATCTTCAATTGAATTATTTGAATATTTACTTCAGTTTTACACTTAGTCTGTGTTTTAAAAAAAAAATGGTCAATTCAAAGATTAAAGATTAGAATTCCCTTATATATTTTACATATATATTCACAATGATGGAATCAGTTTAGGTATGCAACAAGGAACATACTAACCCAATATAAAATATGATCATTTAATTGAATAAGAAAACATCTACCAGACATCCCTGTTAGGTAATAAGCAATACTATAGAAATTACTGCAAAGCATTTTAAAAGCACTCAGTGTGTATGCCAGGTACATGTCTAAGTGTTGCACAAATATTAACTCATTTTGTCCTCACAATAGCCTTGTAAGATAGGTACTATTATTACTTCTACTTACAGGTGAAGAAGCTGAGGCAGAGAGACTAAGCATCTTATACAAGGTCACAGAACTAGTAAATAATAAAACTGGGATTTAAGCTTAGTCTCACTTGGGCAAGAAGAGAAAACATAAACAATGTTACTACTACCCAATAGAAAGTTGGAATGGTTACAGTAAGATCAGATAAGACAGAATATTTCGGAGCCAAGAATATTTCCAGGAATAAAGAAAGTCATTTAACAATCATAAAGGGGCCAATTATTTAATAGGATGTAATAATCCTATTTATGCAACTAAAAACAGAACTTTAAAACATATAAAGCCAAAGTTGGTAAAACTGAGTTACATATTTCAATACCCGTCTTTTAATAATTGGTAGGAAAAAAATGTAGAAAATAAACAAGGATTTAGTAGAGTTGAACAACTCTATCAAACAACTTGACCTACTGAACATTTAAAAAGTCAAAAAATAATAAAGTATACACTCTTTTCAAGAATACACAGAACACTTGTCAAAATAAAGCACAGTCTGGGCCATAAAATAAGTATCAGTACATTTCAAAGGACTCAAGGCATACGAAGTATATCTGGGACCACAACAGAATGAAATTAAAAATCATGAACAGAAAGATCTCTAGAAACTTCCACCCCAAATATTTAAAAAATAAATAACATACTTCTAAATTATTCATAAGTTAAAAAAGAAAAGTAAAATTAGAAAATGTTTCAACTGAGTGAAAATGAAAAGACAACATACTAGAATTTGAGAGATGCTACTTAAGCAGTACTTAGGGGAAATTAACAGCACATGAGGCCTGTATTAGAAAAGAAGGAACATCTCAAAGCAATAACCTCAGCTTCCACCTTACGAAACCAGAAGAAAGAAGAGGCAATCAAATCCACAGTGAGCAGCAGAAAACAAATAATAAAGATCAAAGATGAAATCAACAATTTAAAAAATCAATAAAAAGAAAAACTGGTTCTTTGATAATATCAATAAAACAGGTAAGTATCTGTCAGACTGAAGAGGGAAAAAGAGAGAAGATACAAATTGCCAATATCGGGAATGAAAGAGGTAGCATCACTACAAATTATACAGATATTAAAAGAATGATAATGGAATACTATGATACTAATAAATTCAACAACTTACAAGGAACTAAACAAATTCTTTGAAAGATACAAATTACCAAAGCTCATTCAAGAAAAAAAAATAGATAACCTAAACAACCCTATATCTATTAAATTGAAACTGTACTTAAAAACTTTCCCCCCCAAATAGAACTGTATGCCCAGATGGCTTCACTGGTAAAATCTATAAAACATTAAAGGATAAATGATACCAACTCTACAGAAACTCTACTAAAATACTGGAGAGAAAGAAATACTGCCCAATTCATTTTAGCTGGCCAGCATCACTCTAATACCAAACTCAAAGACAGACATCACAAGAAAAGAAAACTACAGATATTAACCCTCATGAACACAAAAGCAAAAACTGTAAACAAAATTTTATCTAATCCAACTCATTAACATGTAAAAGATATAATTCATCATAACCAAATGGATTTATTCCAGATATAGAGTTGGTTTAACACTTCAAAATCAATCAAGGTAGTTCACCATTATTAACAAAGCAAGCAAAAACACATAATCAATCTCAATAGATGGAGAAAAAGTATTTGACAAAATTCAGCATCTATTCTTAAGGTAAACAAACAAACAAAAACTTTTAGCAACATTTATGAAGAGCTGACAGCTAACATAATACTTAATAGTGAATGCCTTCTCCACAAGATGAGAACAAAACAGGAATGTCTCTTCTCATCACTTCCACTCAAAATTATACTGAAGTTTCTAGCCAACACAACTAGTCAAGGAAAAGAAAAATAATCAGATAACCAGGGAGAAAGATAAGGAAAAATAAAGAAAAGTTATTAGTTCTGGGTAAAACAAAAGAATGAGAAAAGGGAAACAATGAGAAAATGGAGAAATTAAACCACAAAGGGTAACAAATTCTTATTATGTCCAAGTAATATATGTGAAGACATCAGTTTCATATTCTTAAGCTACCTAAGAACTGGGTGATAAATATCTCCTACTAAGAAGGAGATAAATTCAAATTATAAAGAACTTATTGAGACAATTTAAAACACTACTTTTGCTCATTTTGACATAGCATTCTTTGGGAAATATTAATATATTCCCTAAAGTGGATGAATAAACTACAAAAATCTAGAACAGGTGTGAAACACAGCCTTAACATTTCTTCTTTAAATTCCATATTCTAATTTTTTTCATTAATGTTAAAACAAAAATAAAGGGTATTGTAGCCTCAGAAGCTAGAAAATTAAGAAACACAGAATCTCAAAGCCAGAAAGAGCCTCCTTCAGAAAGAAAGGAAAGATAGGCCAAAAGAAGAGCAGATCTACCAAGTTGATAAAATTATGTGAGGTAATTGAAAAAGGTGTGACACAACTCAAACAGTAACGAGCTGTGTGACTTTAAGAATAAACTCCAGTGTTTCTGGATCTGAATTGTCTACATCTGTAAAATAAGAAATTAGGCCAACTGATCTCTAAAGTCTCTTCATCTTTGAAAGTCTAAGATCCTCTGAGTCTACAAGATCATAAGCTAAAGAACAAAAACAATGAGATAAATGCCTCGTTAATTCAGAGGAAAGTTTTTTTAATTTTTTATCTGAACTGAAGACACTAGGGAAGGTTTCTGTCCATTGATTAACCTGAATGTTAATTTCATTGTCTATTTTATTCACGATGAGCTTAAAGTATGAGAGAATTAGGAAGTTCAGCTTTCATCCTGTACCTTGTTTGAGCGTAATGACACTCGACCTCCACAACGGGCACAAAACTTGGTTTGGCAATATGAACAGTTATGGCCACATCCGTCAGCGAACTTGGTTTTGTGGCAGATGCCACAGGTTGGAGCATCACCCTTCTGTTCTTGCTGCTGCTGTGATTCTTCACCCATCTTCTTTACCTGCTCCTTATACATTTCAAACTGCTGATGAAGTTTTCTGCAGAGAACACAGACAAGAAAAATTTGGTTTCCTGATGGTCTCAAAAAATAATAATAATTACCACAATCTGTGGACACAATTTTATATCTGAAAAATCCATAAGGTGAGAGTAAAGAATAAAAATTTAACTTTCTGTTGATAGAATAACATCTTTAATGGCGCACAACATTGTAAAAGTGTAACTAGTTCTGCCATCTGATATACATGCTAATTTGATAAACAGTACAATTAACATACTTCTTTGAAAGATAATTGTAAAATTTCTACCAACTATCTGCAATATGTTTTCAATCATATACAACGAAATATTTACAATGTTATTTTTCAAGAGTTTGGCTTCAGAAATAGACTGAGCGATATGACTTGTACAAGGAAACCAAAACCTATCAACTCCAAATCACTGAGACAGAATCTCAACTGGGATGCAATTATGAATCAAAGCAGAGAGGAAAACAGCGGATGAGTGGTCTCACTAACTATCCAAATCTGTTCAACAGCCTGGACATTAGTTGGCTGCAAAGACACCGTGAAATATTAGAAGTCTACCAAATAAGGCAGTACAAATAAAAGTAAGGCCTTCACTGATTCTAGTTAAAAATAAATAGTGATAAAACTTTTACTATTATCTTTATAAAAGATGATTTTAAATGATTAAAACTATAATTTTGATTTACAAATCAAAGTTCCTAGTCAGAACTAATGCTTAGGATTTACAAAGCTGCAAATAATGTCACTCTCATCCTAAAAAGGACAAAAGGCTAAATAATCTACAAAAGCATAACTTCTCTTGATCGCATCAGAGAGCTGAGGGTTATAAGACAAGCAAATAATCTGAACTCCAAGACAAACCCTTCCAAAGAACAATGGGACACACTATTTCACCTTTGTCAGAGCATAGGAGAAAGAGGTGGCCACCAGACAGTTAAGAGGAAATTCACTGAAATTTTATCTAACAAATTTTAAGTCAAGTGTGGGCTAACATGACAATTTGGAATTGCTATGGGCCCAGGATCACAAGCAATCTTCCACATACTGGTTATTCATGAGGAACAATGAGAGTAGGATGTAAGAACATTTAAAAGAACCTTTGGGGTGCATATGTACAAATATAACAGAAGTGACTGACTAGTGGCTGCTAGAACACAGGAATTCCCCAGACTGTTTCTCCTAAAAAAGCCAAAGCTGTAAGCCACAGGAAAAGGGAGTAAACTCTGTCATCCCCAGGACGAAGGCAAAGATCCACTGCAGCTAGGGAAATGCATGGGAGGGGAAAAGCCCTCTTTTCATGAAGGAGGGACAGGAAATCATCTTCAGCCAAGATCTCACCCACAGATCAAAGGCTTTTATCATAGAGGGAGAGGTAGAAACTCCTGCCCTAAACCATTCAGAGATGATACCAAGCCAACTTCCTTACTTGGGAAAAAGGGAATAAGAACTCTGAGCAGGCCTCATCCCCGAGGCCCTCATAGACAGAGCCTGTCAAAGATGGAAGATGGAAACTACAGAACAGAACACCCCAACCTTATCACAAGCCAAGTATCAAGAAATAAGCACCAGTATTCTGCTGCTGGGGCATGGTCAAGAACACGGAGAGAGGCCCTCTCCCTCTGTGACATAAGTGGGTAAGAATAGCTGAAGGGGTAGCAAAACATAAACAAACAAACAAACTTACAGAACTCCTGCATTCACCCCAAGCAAAAAGCAACAGGAGCTCACTGTTAGAGAAATCTGAAAACAGCAGTGCCCTAAAGACAATGACACAATCCAAACCTATCTGAGCCCCTGACTTGACTAGTGATTTCACACCCCAGTGACTCAGTGGTAAAACATTCGCCTGCAATGCAGGAGACTACATGTTTGATCCCTAGGTCAGGAAGATTCTCTGAAGGAAATGCCAACCCACTCCAGTATTCTTGCCTAGGAAATCCCATAAACAGTGGAGTCTGGTGGGTCACAGTCCATAGAATTGCAAAGAGTCGGACACGACTTAGCAACTAACAACAAGAACAAAGGGAAAGAATATATGATTATGTCAAAATATGCTGAGAAAGCGCCTGAATCAGCAAACTAGGAATAGACAGAAACTTCCTTAACTCAATAACAGTATCCACAAAAGGGTCTACAGCTAACATCATACTGTATTTGAAATACTGAGTGCTTTCCCCCTAAAATCAAGAACAAAGCAAGGTGTTGTCTCTCACTACTCCTAATCAACACCGGACTGGAAATCCTAGCTAATGCATTAAAGCAAGAAAAACAATAAAAATTAAACCATAGAGGTTGGAAAGGAATATTTTTTAACTGAGCAGATGGCATAATCATCTATGTATAAAGTCCCGAAGAAACTATAAAAAAAAAATTCCTATAATAGATGAGTCTAGCAAGGTCACAAGATATATGCTCAATATACAAAAAACAATTGCATTTTTGTATACTAGCAACAGACAGTTGGAAATAAAAATTTTTTTAAGTAGTATGCAGGGAGGGGGGATCGGGATGGGGAACACATGTAAATCCATGGCTGATTCATGTCAATGTATGGCAAAAACCACTACAATATTGTAAAGTAATTAGCCTCCAACTAATAAAAATAAATGGAAAAAAAATAATAAAAGTAGTATGCAATGGCATCAAAAATAAAAGAAAGAAAAGACTAAGGTATCAATCTAGCAAAATATGAGCAGACTTTCTTTGGTAAGAACTATAAAATATTAATAATAAGAATCAAAAGAGATCTAGTTAATAGGAGAAATATTCTATATTCATCATGAGAAGTTTCAGTACTGTTAAGATATCAATTCTCTACAAATTGATTCAATGTCATCTCAAATCACAATCTCAGCAAGAATTCTTTAAACAAATTGACAAGCTAAATTTAAAATTTGTATGGAAAAGCAAAACTCTCAAATTAGGCAACATATTTTGAAAAAGAAAAAGACTGAAAAACTCACACTACCTAATTTCAAGACTTACTATAAAAACTACAGAAGTATGGACTTCCCTGGTAGCACAGTGGAAAAGAACCTGCCTGCCAACGCAGGGGACACAGGTTCGATTCCTGGTCCGGGAAGATTCCACATGCCTCGGAGCAACTAAGACTGGGTGCCACAACTATTGAGCCTGCACTTCAGAGCCTGAGCTCTGCAACAAGAGAAGCCACAACAGTGAGAAGCCTGAGCACCACAACTAGAGAAAGCCCTTGCACAGCAAAGAAGATCCAGTGCAACCAGAAATAAATAAAATTATTTAAAAAAAAAACAAACTACAGAAGTAATCAAATATTGGTAAAGCATAAACATGCATACAATAAAACAGAGTCCTGAACAGTCCAATACTTAAACAGTCACTACTTTTTAAAAAAGATGCCTAGGTACTCAACAATAAAGAATAGTCCTTTAAAACAACTGAAAATCCATGTGTGGAAATCCATTGTGTAAAAAAATAAACCTCAACTCATACCTCATACCTATATGAAAATTAACTAAATGTATTACAAAACTGTAAACAATAGATTACAGAGCTAAATAAAATGACTAAAAGTATAAAACTTGTAGATGAAAACATTGAAGAAAAGCACGGCCTTGGGTTCAACAAAGACTCCTAGGCTAGACAAGGTATAGGTTCTAGACCTTCAGCAGAATTTAAGAAGCATGAACCAGAAACCTGCCAAAGACAATATATAAATGAATGAATATAGCTATGCTCCAATAAGATATTATTTATGGATGCTGAATCTTGAATTTTATGTCATTTTTATAATCTCAAAATATTATTATTAAAAAACCATTTTTTTCAACATTTTTTACATGTAAAAGCCATTCACTGGTTATACAGAAACAAGCAGTGGGCCAGATGTGGCCCGCGGATCACAGATTGTCCAATTTTATATGATATGATTTAATTTATGTAACATTCTAAAAAAGACAAAATTATAAGGACAGAAATCAGATCAGTGGTTGCTAGGGAATGGAGTAAAGCAAGGGAACTGACTACAAATGGGCGCAAGGAACGTTTGGTGGTGAGGAAAATAGCCTATGTCTTGATTATGGTAGTAGATATTACTGTGTATGTTTTCTAGAATTCACTGAAGTGTATGCCTCAAAGGAATGAATTTTACTGGTAATAAACATAACCCCAAATAAGTTTGACTTTTAAAAAGCAGTTAGTTTCAAAGTGCTAACCTATAATCAGTGTGTGTGCTCAGTAGCTCAGTCATGTCCGACTCTTTGCAACCCCATGGACTGTAGCCTGCCAGGCTTCTCTGTCAATGGAATTTTCCAGACAAGAATACAGTAGCAGGTTGCCATTTCCTAATCCAGGGTATCTTCCTGACCTAGGGATTGGACCCACATCTCTTGCACGTCTTGCATTGGCAGGTGGATTCTTTACCACTGCACAACATGGGAAGCCCCCAACCTAAAGTCAGGAGGTAAATTAAAAATACAGCCATGTAAGTCCTTTTATCTCTGCAACCACAAAAGCGTATTTCCATTTTCATGCCTAATATTAATAAACTCAAATAGCTATGCCACTTTTTTTTTTCCAATAACTTTAGGTAACATACTATTTTTCCCTGATGGTCTTTCACCAGGTTTAAGTGAATCTCTAGTAACACAAAATAAGCATCACTCCAAGAGACCTAAGTTCATAAAACATGTACAAGAACAAACATGATTTTAAGTGGACCATGAATGAGCTCTGCATCAGAGCTTCTCCCACCATTTGGAAGAATCATCTTTCTATGTGTGAGGCGACTATATATGTCTACTGTATAGCTGTATGATCTCTGACATGATCCTTCAATATTTGGCTGAACCTCTCTGGGAGAAAGATAAAGAAGAAGAAAATTAGAGCAAATGCTTTGTTTTAGTTCTAGAGGCACTGGAGTAGGCAAGTTACCAAGGCAAGTTTCACTGGAACAAAAAGTAGAAACCTAGTGAAGCAAACTGTGCTACATAGGGCCTCGAGGGGAATAGAAATCCCAGTTTTCACACACA